TTTTGATGAATGTGAAGAGAAAAAGTCGTCGTCTGGTCTCAAAGGATGTTTAATAGACGACTGTACTGGAAGGAACGATGACAATTTGCCGTCGCCAATGCGAACGAAAATAGCGGCAACGTGCTGTAAAATACCTCCAGAAGACTTTAAGCTTTTTTATTACGGATAAACTGTTTGAGAAAGTCTACTGGCATGAAATCGATACTGATACTCGTTAAAATGTAGTTTTAGTCGAGAAATAAAACATTATTTCCATTTTGCATTAATATATGTTGTCTTGTGTCGTGTTTTGTTTTCATTCTTTCTTGAGATCACGGATTAATCGAGCCAAACCACGATGTGTATTCAATTCAGATAAAAAGGTACATTATTAACCATTTTACATGAAGTATTACAAATTTAGACACTCTGATCGACCTGGTGTAAAAAATGTAAAAAAATATGCTGATTAGTTTAAAACGGAATTCCACTTTACCTTCCTCCTATAGCTATACTGTGCAAACTTAGAGGATACTTACTAAATGCGTGCGAATTGTAAATATTAAAATATCGAACATGCTAATCTCTGAGGTTTCAGAGAGTGCGGATTTTCTGTCAACGAGCACAGTTTTCTTTAGTTCTAGCTTCACGGATTTTAGTAGATTAATTTCTTGTCCTTCTATTTTAGACGTAGCTTGATGTCAACAGGTTGATGTTGATCAGTTCAGGCTGGGAATTTTCACATTCACGTGAGAGTATTGTATAGCGTGCACAGTTGGGTGAGATTTTTCAAGTCTTGTCGACCTCCTTGCTGACCGCAGAGGACAAAAGCACTTGCTAATTATTCAACACCTTGAAGGATTAAAGATTTTTACAATTGACCATACATTTGCCGATGTAATTGAATGGAATCAGCAGGCAAAAGAATAAAAATATCAAACGGCAAATTATTTACATTTGCACCTATAATTAGACCAAGTTATAGCTCTGATGCATGTTCTTTATTGTAAAACACTTTTACATTTCTAGCAATTCATCGCAAATTTAAACAAGATTGTGGTCTACTTTTTAGGTTGCGATCATCGAGTCCATAATAGCCGATTATTCAGGTCATAACTAGCATAGAATTTTTTTTACAACACATTGCTTGAAGTACTCCGCGTTGAGGCGTTTGAGAAGACTCTTCACAGTTGCTCACTATGCATCTTTGTCCACCATAAGCCTGACTTGTTCCACATCCGGCGAATCCTTTTTTCTGGCACGCAACGGCTAGTTCGTCTTCTTCACATGCTGCTACCAATGTTGATCTCTGTATCTTTCTACATTCTGAGGAAACAAACGATGGTGAAATTATATTTTTCCTATACTATGCCGCCATACATGACGAGGTTTTATCCTATAGCTGTGCATTAATTTTGGAAAATGCCCTGCCTGAGTTCTGGATTTTAGTTTGCTGGAAATTGGGCGTTGAACTTTTTTTAGATGGCGTGATATTATTGTGCCTGTCCTGGAGGGGGATTTTTATTCAGTCTGAAATCTCGCATGAAAGATGTGTTCAGACAAGCTCATGCATCTGATGGTGTGTTATTGATTTTTCTTCACTTTGTATTTTAAGAGAAGCATATAAGCTTTGTCAAAAGTAATACCAGTTTCTGAACAACATGCTTACGACCTTACTCTGCTATACACATTAACCACGCTTGCTCTTCTCAGCTACCTCTGTAGCTCAGTGGCAAGAGCAATGCTCCGGCATCGCAAAAGCGTAGGTTCGATTCCTGCGGGAGGACCGATAGTTGACTTATTTTTCTTGTTTGTTGAATGTTCCGTCTTGAATTTGAAGTGTGTATAATTCCACTCGAAATTAAGACCCTTTAAACCTCTAGAATTTACATGCATATCCAGTATACAATTTTAATTAAAGATGGCAGAATTGTCATATTGTACCTTCAAAACAGACCTTCTTCTTGCCGGACAGGCTTTCTTCTGAAAAAGTCCGAATAACAAAATAGTATTATTAGCAAAATTTTCTTAGACAAAATACTTAAAGACTTGTCAAAATATTTCAACATTGTGCCCTATAGCTGAATGATATAGACACATGTTTGTAAAGATTCAGAAGTTTGTAGAGATTTTGAATAGCCATTTCATCTTACCGATTTCGGGGTACTCCCCATCTAGAGGCCTTTCTGTTGTATCTCCAGATACCTTTTCCCAATTGCCGAATTGAGCGTTACAATACGCACCTGTTTGCAGAAAGCTTTGCCATTGAGTGGTTCCAACATTGAGATACAAATAATTGTCTATGACTTTTTTATAGAGGCATGCATCAATATTGATCAAAATTTGTTTACACAGTTTAAAGAATCCATTACAATACATTCTAAGACTATTAATCGTAAATAATGTTTATTTAAGCTACTAGGGCGAGTTGTATAAAAGACTAGTTTACTTTTAACTGTAGTTAAGGACAGAATTGGACAATCAGGTTCGTGTATTTAACTGGGACTTAACTATGCAAAATAGTTTTAAAGAGTTTTATACAACCGGCCACCGAAATGTTTAGTCCTGAAATGACTTATATAATATATGACTTTTTAGCATTATTTTTATATGCCTTCAATAGTTACTTCACCTATATTTATATCTATGTGTACTTACTGCATAAAACTACAATGAGGCCAAGAACACACATAACTAATTTGCTCATGATTTCCAAGTCCTTCGAAATCTCTTGTTGAAAACGACGTTTTTATGTTCTTTAAATTTTATTCTGCTATTTAGAGTTTTGACTTCCCTATATATATACTCGAGGTAACCTCATTTGCACACATTAGAACGGATGAGGTAATCATTTTCGTTGCCCAGGAACATGCGCTACATGAAGAAACGCCTTAAAAAGCCTGTCTCGTTTCTTGCGCCTTGCTAGGCTTTGTTTTGTAATCAGTCTATATAATATCTGCTCCAAAGTCTAACGCATCGATATGCAAACCCGGATTGCGCATAACGGATGTCGAAAATTATTATACACAATTGCATGGCAATTGTAAAAAGGCATATAGTTGGTGCTAGAGATATTTTGTATTTTTTTTTTGATAAACTCTGTCGCTAGGTAGGCTGGACTGACGCCGGGATCGTGTTAAAAATATCCTCATCGTGCTCATGTAATGCTGGTCTAAGTGGTCTTTTTGTTTAAATGCTTATGTCAAAACACACTTATACCACGCAGACACCGGCCTTTGAATCTTAGCGAACTTGGTTAAGCTATGCGACTTAAACATATAAGATTGCATCACTCTACGTAATGTTATATCAGGTCTAGACTCACTTTTTTGTCTGAAGTGTTAAGAAATTGATATTGTCAAAGGTCAACAGTAAATTTATTTAGCTTCTTTTACATGCCAAAGCTCGCCTAGTCAGAAATTAGGAAATCATGCATTGCTTCCAATATAGAAATTAAAAAGGTCGTAAAGTATTGCCACAGGCAAAGGTACATAGCTTATAGTGTGCAAGGCAAAGCTTATAGTGTACCGTTGAAGATTTTCAACACTTAGCTTAGGGGCTGTTTTCATGAGCCCGGTTCCCCGAGATTCAACGAAGCGTGAGATGATTTTAAGGTATTGAAATGAGCAGATAACATGATCCTGGCCGTCGTATAATCACCGCAACAATAGCATGTGCTTGTTTGGTGTCTTAAAGACTTATTTTAATACCTCAAAGTCCTCTCATGCTTCGTTAAATCTCGGGTATATAACCGGGCTCATGTAAACAGCCCCTTAGAATAAACTGTGTTAATTATGCAAGCTGTGAAACAATCGTAAGTCATTTGCATTATAACATTAATTGGGCCATTGGCTCAAGTCGAAATTTATGAATTTCTGATATACCGGGGCACCGAGCAATATCAATTCTATCATAAATATTTCAATTAATTTCGTTAGAATATTCGTATCGTTTTCATTTTAACACAGAAAGCATCCTCATCAAGCAACCTGCATATTGGGTGCTCTAATAAAACTAATACTGCATGTCGATATTAGCCCGGCTCTATAATTGTTGTAATTTTGATGACGGATCCGTCGGATAACTCGAGGGATAAACATTGATAAATGATGAAGCTTATGCGTAACTTCTATTGTCATAAATTTCGTGTGTTAAAGTAATTCATACGATCAGGAAAGGTAACGATAATAGTTCAATTGACTAGACGGTCGACAGTTGAACACACACGATTTACAATACACGCTGGGTTTCTCTGCCTACATACCACACACTTGTTTAATGGTTTTGAAATTGAGTGCAATTAATGCACAATCCAAATTCTGGGCATCACCAGTACAAAAGCCTCAAAGATTAAACGTCAAATGTTATCTCTCGTATATTATCAGATTTTATTTTGCATTATAAGTTCATAAAACTTTTTTATAATTTTTTTTTTTGTGTTAGCCAATTAGGACGGTCTTGATTACCAGTCTTAACTCGTTCATATTTTGCGCACGCACATAATTAGAAACGGTCCAACGTTGATTGGGTGCCATCTATGACATATATGTGGATGACTTTAAATTATAACCCGGTTGGAAGTGGTTGGACGACTTTAAATTATAACCCTTATATGGCGCTCGGCGCCTGCTTGCATGAGATTGAAAAGCTGATTTAACTTCAGTTGAGAAACAAAGCTTTATTTGTAAAATTCTTTTTCACCTTAAGCTTCTCACAAATAATCACAAACTAAAATAACTTTGATTGATGTTGTCAAGTCCTAAACCCCAAATTTTTATTAAAGAATTGGTGGAAACAACTTGGGCAGAAATTTTCTTACACCACACCGCTGTGAGAGTTCCATCTATGCCATCAGTACCCCATAAGTCGGTATTGCCCCACATCCATTGGATTCTCGCATCAAACGAAAAGTTCAGACCCCCCCCCCCTTCAAAGCGAAATTTCCCATTTCTTTTCGACTCATTTGAAAACTAGTTCAATGCATATGGAAAAGGAAGCTTTATTGTAAAACTGTTTCACATCTCTTACAAATCTTTGCAAATTTAAACCACTTTTATCTCATAAGATTTATATGATCATTGAGTCCGTAATAGCCCAATATTCAGTTACCAACTTGTACATCACTAACCAACTTCAATTCCCCAATTGTGGGTGTTACGAAAATTGCCACATTTTTGGAGACATTCTTCTTCAAATGCAGCTTTCAATCCACTGAATCCAGATCCCTGCATCTTTTTACATTCTGAGGAAATGAATAATAATGTTATTTTATCTTCGCTATGCCAGCCATACATGACATGGTTAACTTTTTTCCTATAACTGCTTTTCAGTGTGCATAAGAATCTGCCTAATGGGTGATTTTCGTTCAGTCTGAAATTTTGCATAAAATGTGTTCAGACATGTTATCTGATGGTACATTAGTTGATTTTTCTTGACTTTGTATTTCTTGGGAAGTCCATTAAATGGAACTACCTTATAAGTTTTGTCAAAAGCAATGCCAGTTTATGAACACTTGCATGCTCAATAAACAATTGTAGATATAGCAGGATTGTCATATTCTACCTTGCAAACAGACCTTCTTCACGTCCGGCATGCTTTTACCTAAGAAAGAAAATACATATCAGTATATTACTGAATCATTATAAATAACTAAGCTATTTATAAACTCGGTGAAAGTGTCTGAACATCTACTAAAGTCTTTGCGCTTTCATTTTGCGAACTTGTGCACGGTGATAACAATAGATTGGCATTATATAGCGATTGTCCAATAGCATGACTTTCTTATATCACTCAATTATCAATATACTGCTAATTATACAGTCATTTCAAAGTTTTGTCAAGATTTTGTCCATTTCAACTTACTGGTAAGCGGGTAATCCCCATATGGTATATATAATGCAGGTTTGGCAGGCCTTTCTGTTGTGGCTACAAATATCTTTTCCCCATTAGCTTGACCCTCAGCATTGGCACCTATATGCAGAAAGCTTTGCTATATTGACTGTTTCCAACATTGAGTTACAAATAATAAAATTATCATCGTGTTTTTAAGGCTCGTGCATCGATTTACTTACTGCATGAAGCGACAATGGCAGCCAGACCTAGAACACACAGAACTGATTTGTTCATGACAACCAAGTCCTTTGAAATATCTCGTTGAGGCGACGTTTAATCGCCTATTTAGAGTTTCGACTTCCCAATATATACTCGAGCCTCGAGGTTACCGCACTCATATAACTTGCACATATTAAAACGTATGAGGTAACCGTTGTCGTTGCTTAGGAAGTTGTGCTACATAAAGAAACATCGTAAAAAGCCTGTTCCGTTTCTTGCCTTGCTTGGCCTTGTTTAGTAATCGATCAGTCTAATATCTGCTGGCGAGTCCAACGCATCGATATGAAAATCTGGATCGCGCATAACGGATGTCGAGGACTCAAATTCTGAAGGAGGTCGAGGACTCAAATGCCGCCATCTTGGTAATTCAGATTCTGCGCTCTGATTGGCGAGATAAGCCACTGATCTGTATATGATCTAGTAAAGGTGTAAAAGACATTACTATCGCTGCTATTATATAGTTACTGGTTTATTAATATCCGTTGTTGAGCAATTGTGGGTTGTATTGCGCTGTTTATATGCAAGATATAGTGACTTCTACTGTTTTTTATCGATTGACTGATAGTTGACGGCAAAAATAATTGGTGTTCATTGATTCTCAACTCAAAAATCTTATCACTGCATGGTTTAAAATATAAAATACTATATCTTTCAAAATACTATCGAATAAACTAAAACAAGTTCAAATCTTTTTCTTAAGACGTATTCTAATTGTTTTGAGAGTTCAGCGAATACGTTTCATATTATTTATTAATTGCTCTATATCTATCACTGACCTCACTGAACAACCGCTCCGGGAGGTTTAATTAAAAGATATTATTTATACTTTCTTCCTGATTGGTGGATCAAACACGATAATCACGCAATCGCGGTGAAATCACATTTCAAAATGCTAATGGCATATTCAGGAATAAAACACTTCATGTTGTATAATAAAGTAAAGTATTCTATTAATTTCTCTATATCTATCACTGACCTATATATACCAGATATTAACTGAACGAGTCGAGAAAATTTCTCACGTAATATCGCCGGTTATCGTGTTCTCAAGGTTTCGAATAGAGGGTTTCATGTTTATAATTTTATTATGTTACGCAAAATCTTTTGGCAGAAACTGAATATGATTCAATTAGTTAAAAATTTCTTATACCCAAATTATGCAACTTAAACGCAGGAGTATGTTGTTGAGTTACCTAATGTACTGTACATCTAACACTTTTTTTCTCAAGTGTTTACGAAAAATGTAATATTCTTTCAAGAAGATATTGACGATATTTAAGTTCTGACAATAATAAAGAATCAATTGCAATTTCTATAATGCATGTTTCTGCAACTTTTTGCTAACTTTGGCTGAGTATTACGATCTTAATTGGCAAGCAATTTAAATTCTGACGAAAATGCTAATGGCATATTCAGGAATAAACACTTCATGTTGTATAATAAAGTAAAGTATTCTATTAATTTCTCTATATCTATCACTGACCTATATATACCAGATATTAACTGAACGAGTCGAGAAAATTTCTCACGTAATATCGCCGGTTATCGTGTTCTCAAGGTTTCGAATAGAGGGTTTCATGTTTATAATTTTATTATGTTACGCAAAATCTTTTGGCAGAAACTGAATATGATTCAATTAGTTAAAAATTTCTTACCCAAATTATGCAACTTAAACGCAGGAGTATGTTGTTGAGTTACCTAATGTACTGTACATCTAACACTTTTTTTCTCAAGTGTTTACGAAAAATGTAATATTCTTTCAAGAAGATATTGACGATATTAAGTTCTGACAATAATAAAGAATCAATTGCAATTTCTATAATGCATGTTTCTGCAACTTTTTGCTAACTTTGGCTGAGTATTACGATCTTAATTGGCAAGCAATTTAAATTCTGACGAAAATGCTAATGGCATATTCAGGAATAAACACTTCATGTTGTATAATAAAATAAAGTATTCTATTAATTTCTCTATATCTATCACTGACCTATATATACCAGATATTAACTGAACGAGTCGAGGAAAGTTCTCACGTAATATCGCCGGTTATATCGTGTTCTCAAGGTTTCGAATAGAGTGTACATGTTTATATTATGCTACGCAAAATCTTTTGGCAGAAACTGAATATGAATCAATTTTTTAAAAAATTTCTTGTACCCAAATTATGCAACTTAAACGCAGGGGTATGTGGTTGAGTTACGTAATGTACTGTACACTTTTTTCTCAAGTGTTTACGAAAAATGTAATATTCTTTCAAGAAGATATTGACGATATTCAAGTTCTGACAATAATAAAGAATCAATTGCAATTTCTATAATGCATGTTTCTGCAACTTTTTGCTAACTTTGGCTGAGTATTACGATCTTAATTGGCAAGCAATTTAAATTCTGACAAATGTGCACCAGGCATTCATAGACGCTAAATTTCTGCCATGGGATTGTCAAACATGCATCGAGGCAATGTAATATATCAAAAAACAAAGAAAGTGTTACGTTATTGCCTTAAGAACACGCAGCTTGACTTAAATTTAAAGCCAATCCGTAATCATGAGCCACAAATCGAAGTAAATTAAGGAATTGTGTGGATTTCACTGTCTTGAAGGTAGATACTTCAAAAATTCATAAACAGCCTAAGCCATGAGCCTCTGCGTATACAGGTTTCGAAAGGTCTCCAGCCAAGAAAAAATTGCGTAAATTACTTGTAGCAATTACTGTAACAAAGATCTAAATGAACAAGAAAAAAGAAAAGAGATATAAGTCACTAAGCAACATGGATGAACAAAAAGATTAAACTGAAAATTATTCCATTTCCGCTGAGCCGTTGCTTTATAAAACGCCGCGGGAGCCAATCTTTCGAAAAGTTGAAACTAACTTGGAACTTGAAAGAGTAAAGTGAATTCGCGAAGTCAAGATGAATCAAGTTATTCTGTGTCTTTTCGCCTCGGTGATTGCCATGCTGGTCGTGGGCTGTAAGTATTTCCAAGCTGTAACTTATAACTTTATAGACAAACAACTGCATCAGTTTTGACTTATAGAATGTGTTTGATGTTAGATGAATGTTTCATCTTTTTTTTCTGAGAAAAAATCTGTGAACTGTGAATCGTTTATCGCCCCTGCGATCTGTTAGCCTGTTTGAAGTCCTAGACCATTTGTAATCTGTACACTGTATTCTTTTTTTTTAGCGTCTGTATGGTCGATGGAGTGTGGAACTAGGGGCGATGGAAGTAAGAGCTATCGTTACAGCAAGGGAGATGAAAGAAATAAGGGCTATCGTGGCAGTAAGGGCGATGGAAGTGAGGGCAATCATGAGAGTAAGGGCGTTGGAAGAATGGACTATAATGGCAGTAAGGGCGATGGTTATAGCAAGGGCGATGAAAGTAATAAGGGATATCGTTACAGTAAAGGGCGGTGGAAGTGAGGGCAGTCATAGCAATAAAGGAAGTGAGGGCTATGGTTACAGTAAGGGCGATGAAAGTAATAAGGGATATCGTTACAGTAAGGGCGTGGAAGTGAGGGCAATCATAGCAATAAAGGAAGTGAGGGCTATGGTTACAGCAAGGGCGATGAAAGTAATAAGGGATATCGTTACAAGTAAGGGCGTGGAAGTGATGGCAATCATAGCAATAAAGGAAGTGAGGGCTATGGTTACAGCAAGGGCGATGAAAGTAATAAGGGATATCGTTACAGTAAGGGCGGTGGAAGTGATGGCAATCATAGCAATAAAGGAAGTGAGGGCTATGGTTACAGCAAGGGCGATGAAGAATGGGTATCGTTACAGTAAGGGCGTGGAAGTGAGGGCAATCAGTAGTGAGGGTACAGCAAGATGAAAGGGGTTATCGAAGTAGGAGGAGAGGAGTATCGAGAGTAATGGATGAAAGTAAGTCTTCATATGCACACAGTACTATATAAGAGTTAGTGTGGGAGCAACGAGTATCTAATCTACGAGTAAAGGCTCTTTTTCTCTCATCGCAATGGCAAACTCGCAAGCTCTCTGGGAGGGTTTTCATTCAATGAAAATGCTTTTAACTACATGCAAGCGCTCGTAGCGAGCTTGTGCCTTGTGAGTAGGTTTTTGCGACGAGAGTGGTAAAGACCCTCAACTCGCGACAATGACAGACATTTCAGTTTAGCTGAGGAGGGATGTTGATCGTATTAACGGCAAATCATAGCAATAGAAATCAGTCAGAAAACATCATGTTACAGGAGCATAAAGTAACTCGCAGTTGACGTAATTTTAAGCTTAGTGCATTCTAACGTTTTGCTCAATACCGAAGTTTGCTTTCTGAAGGTGCCTGAGAAATTTTTTTACAGTTAATTGCAAAATAACAGTAAAATAAGAATAAATAAAGGTCACGATTATTGATCAAACTATAAAGCAGCTATACGCCTAGGCAATGCAATTTAAGCAATAGCTAATTCAAAGTACTATTTGAAACTACTACTTTGTGTGATTTTTGTTTAGATTGTAGAGAAGTCGAAAACATTGGCACTGCAGTGTGGTGTGGTTCCTATGAGCGACTTCAGGAATGCAGCGCAACTGGTTTTGATGAATGCGAAGAGAGAAAGTCGTCGTCTGGTCTCAAAGGATGTTTAATAGACGACTGCACTGGAAAGAACGATGACAATTCGCCTGCGCCAATGCGAACGAAAATGGTCGCAACGTGCTGTAAAGTACCTCCCGAAGAGTTTAGCATTTATTATTAACACGGATAAACTGTATGAGAAAGTCAACCGGCATGAAATTGATACTGATACTCGTTAAAAAGTAGTTTTTAGTCGAGAAATAAAACATTATTTCCATTTTGCATTAATATATGTTGTCTTGTGTCGTGTTTTGCTTTCATTCGTTCTTGAAATCACGGATTAATCGAGGTAAATTAATTTAAAAGATACATTATTTACCATTCTACATGAAGTATTACAAATTTAGGCACTCTGATCGGCCTTGTGTAAAAATTGTAAACAAATATGCTGATTAGTTTAAAACAGAATTCCACTTTGCTTGGTAGAATTCATTTCACTTTACATTCCTCCTATAGCTATTCTGTCCAAACCTAGAGAATACTTACTAAATGCATGCGAATTGTAAATATTATAAAGATATCGAACATGCTAATCTTCGAGGTTTCAGAGAGTGCGGATTTTCTGTCGACGAGCACAGTTTTCTTTAGTTCGAGCTTCACGGTTTTCAGTAGATTAGAGAACACCGCAGGAAATGGTATGTATGAAATTTCCACCCGAGAATTAACCACTGGTTCCTAATTGTGCATTTCTGTATTGCTATATATCAAAGAGAATACTATTAAACAAGTTCAAAAATGTTGAAACGCGATCTTTTCTCCTGAATACGCATTCTGCAATCTTTTGACAGCTGATCGTACACATCTGACGGCTGTGAAATAGACATTTGAGGCTTAAGTATATATAGAGGTTTATTAATTCAGACGATTCGTTTTTACCGTGTGCAAGCTTCAAATCTTTAGTATAAGTTATATTTTGTTAAGCATTTATAAATTTTTTTGCTCCGACTAAGAATTACCAATTTCCGCAGTGTCGGATTAGAGTCCTGGTTTTGAAAGCCCCGTTACACTACAGTCAATTTATTGGCACGGAACGGCTTAAATTATCACCCTTGCTTTCTCACTTTAGTCTTTATCGTAATGTCTCATATATTCAACTGCCCTATATCTCACATTTCTCCACTGAAGTCAATAATTATTCGTATAGACAGTTTAACGGGTACCCGTTTTAGCCATGCGTTCGAATAAATTGACTGTAGTATGAGAGCAGTGCGTGAAACGAAAAGCTTTTAATTTTTTATGCGAAGACCGGTGGAAAACTAAGCCCTCTGAACTGAGAGAAAATTTGCCGAATATGATGCCCGGCAAAATGGGTGCCCGTCTCTGTTTTGGTAGGCTGAGCACTAATTAAATTGGGCACGGGTAGCCATTTTAGCCATGCCGTGTTACACTACACCCAATTTATTGGCACGGCACGGCTAAAATAGTTACCCGTGCCCAATTGTATTGGTGCTCAGGCTACCAAAACAAAGGCCAAGCACAGATGAAATGGGCACGATTACCTAGTGTAAACGGGGCTTTAAGTAAGCCAGATTTTTGCACATGTTCCTGCCGGCTTTTTTTCTGGCTGCGGCTTGTTCTTCCAAATATTTCTATCACACAGCGTGTTTTCCATTTTGCGATTTGATATTCAACTCATTTTGCTCGAAAGTGCGAATTATAGAAACACAGCGAGGGGAGACGTCATGCAGACAATCAATCACAAATATCGCTTTTACGTCAATACAAACCATGAGGTGCAAGCATAAAAACCTTAACAGCATATGAACGGATGAATCACTGCATGAAAATCGGTTTTCGTAAGGATTTCCAATTCCAACAGTTCGCTAGCGAAATATATTTACATATATTTTTTTGAATAATTACGGAAAGAAATTCGTTCACCCTGAGAGTATCGTTTCAAATTAAAAATGCAAATATTTTGCGAGCCAATCATTTCACCGCCGGTGGTTTGAGGGGAAACCCGGCCTAGCTGCTTCCAAGAAAGGAAGTGCAAATCGAAAGTTGAATTTTGCTTATATGTTTAATATAAAGGCTTAGCAACGGGCGACGGAAGAATAAGATAAAAGCAGCTACAATGAACCAACTTAATTTTTAAAAAGATAACATGGCATATTTCCTTGTACGTATACTGTATACATATAATTACTATTGTTAAACCGTATGGAATGCAACATAATACGTTTCACTTCCAAGAAATGCGACAGGAAATAAGATTTAAAAGTTCAAGTTTGTAAACTCAAATTAAGTTTGCCTCGTCATGGGCGACGGAGAATCCCACCAGTGCTGTAGTCAGGCATTCTCCGAATCAAACGACGAATTTATGAGCGGGAAACGATGGCAGGAATGTCGTGAACAAGTTTGCTTCGATTATGTTGTGATTGGATCATCGTTTTGTGCGTGGGCCTTTACTCATCGCATCTTGTCGAACAACCCAGAAGCGAAAGTTCTTATTCTCGAATGCGGCGAATATCGTCGGGAGCACTTCGAAGACCATGAACCCTCCGAAAAAAGGGAATTGACATATTCCACAAAGACATTTCCGTGGAATATTACGAGGAAAATGCAGGATGAAGAATACATCAAAGATCTGGACGGGGTGAACATTTTCTTTGGAGGGCAGTCGGCTTTTTGGCGCGGTTGGTGTCCCCAACCGACTAGAGAAGATCTGGATGGTTGGCCGGACAGTGTTAAAAATGTTGTCGAAAAATACTTTCCAGAAGCAGTTGAGCTTCTAAATGTCAAGTCTGCAAATACGATTGGCATGAATGAGCACGTCAACGACAATCGTGTTTTTGGCAAACTTCAAAACGTTCTTGTTGAAAGAATTCAATCGTGCCTACCAGAAGTTAGTCACGCCATGCTTGCTATTAGCCCGGATAAATCCAGGTATTTAAAGTCATTAGCGTTGATTTAGCCGGTCTTTTGAACACTGAAATGTTTCACTGACCCTGTGTAAAAAATTACGTAATAATAATAATAATCGCTAATATCTTTAGCTAGCGGCATATTCCGGCCAAATTATATTTAAGTAAATTGGCTTGTAAGTACACCACGTAAGTGTAAACTGCAAAGCTTTCGGTCCGTTAACCCCGGCCTTCGTCAGTGCAAAAGGGCCGAAAGCTTTGCAGTATTAAATACTTACGTGGTGTACTTACAAGCTAATTTACTTGTTGATGTCAGCATGCAAACATACAAGAATATTAAATTACAGTTATTTAACCTTTGCATGGGCAGTATAAATGTATAATTTACCCGGTTTAAAATTGATATTGCCGTTTAATTCAATATCGAGATAATATTGGTGTTTTTAAAAATATCAATGAAGTCATATTTATGTGGTTGTTGCGGATTGTGCCTGATTCCTGACAGGTCCAAACATGCCAAGTTCGTCGGTAACTTGCATGCTGAGACCTGTTTCAGACGTCGAAGTCTTTCTTTAAGTTCACTTTTGCATTCGATTCGCTGCATGAAAAATTCAACACATGAAGAGTTCGACTCGTGAGTATTTCGAAGACCTGGAATATTATTTTGAGAAATCTTTGAAAAACTCATTCGTGCATGTTATTATATCCAAATTGCACTCGAAACCGCGTTATTACCTATGCAAATAACCGCGGCAATGAGAAATTTGCTTTGTCACGATAACGACTTAACGCTGGGTATACAAAAATTGAGATTTGATTTGATTTGGTTTTCAAACTTTCAAAGCTTCAAGATTTCTATGAATTTGCTCAGCAAATGGTTTATTTCACATAGTATTGAGGGACATGGAATGCTTTGAAGCCTCGCAAACAAACCACGCTTTCTTAGGCCACCTGTTGAGGGCCTGGTTATTTTTGCTTTGCCTAAATCGATGTTTTGTGGGCGTTTGTGAGAAACGATTTAAGTTTGTAAACACTACGCTCTGATTCATTTTTAATAAATTTCTCTACAAATTATTTATACATAAATTGTTACGGCCATTGACGTCTGATTGAAGCATAACTAATCAAGGGGCTAAAGGCTGCTTTCCATCGTCGCATTTTTTGTACGTACGTTTACATACTTGCGTAAAAGCTTAAAACCTTCTCAGTTGCTGTACAATAAATCTTATTTCAGAAAAAACATGCGAAATTGTCAACAGAATCTAACCCTATGCGTCTATTCAATCGTTGATTTCATAAGTATCATTTAAATGATTTTATGATTCACGAGCAGAAACTCAGTACTGTTATGAAAATTTTTTCATATTTTCATATTACCTTTAACAGGTTCCCCAGTAATGTCATTTCTGCAACTAACAATTATATTGCAAGTATATATAGTAGTTAGACGATATAAGATTTACAGCTTTGTAATTTCTATATAATCACATAAGGGATACCAAAATCGTTTAAACTTTCAAGGCTAACCTGAAAAATGTATACATGCATATTTTTCTTTGGAATGTGGTTAGAAGACGCTCTCCTAGATTGAAAATAAAAAATATTTATACCCATATAATAAAACAATGTATCATTCATAACTCGCAAGCATATATCATTATATGCTTTTAATCTGCTTTGTGCTACAACCCAGCGTATTCCTACGTGGGACATGTCGCAGTGCTCGGAAACTTTCTTCCAATTGGATAGTGCTTTTCTATGCTTTCTAAAGTACGAAGCTATGCTATTGGTTGAAACAGAAATGTATTGTAAAGTTCAGCCAATGAAAATCATTCTTGCGAGGAGCTGCGACACTACCCTCCTATTATATAAGTTCCCTGAGTTTTTTTTTAAACTTGTAGATGTGAACGCATCCAAAAGACCACAGTTGCTGATCCTTTGCTTGAACTGTTACGGAAAAAGAAATTGGAAATAAAAATTAATTGTGAGGTGAAGAAGATAGTGCATGAAAATTGCAATGCTGTATCTCTTGAAACAAGCGAAGGAAACGTCAAGCTTGGAAACGCCAAACTCATTCTGGCAATGGGCGTACTTCCAGCAACTACTCTCATGCTAAATTCCTTTCCTCCGTCTTCTTTCAAGCCACTCTCTGGTATTGGCAGCCGATTCACGGCCCATTTTAGGAGTTCTATTCTCGCACGTGTTCCATTTTGTAAGGATTCGCGTCCCTGGAGCGTGTTTCACAATCTTAAAGACGAAATCGTGGGACGATTCGAGGTAGCAGCCATGCATCCCGGGAACGAACCGAATCAAGAGGGTCACTTTCCATAATTCAACTTTCAGCAATTCTAGACTGCACCCCACGTGACGACACTAAAACAACAGAACATCAATATCCAGATGTGCTGCCTGCGTTCTTGATCAAGAAAGAAACCTCGTCTAAAGACCCGCCACATTTACTTCTGGTTTGCAAAATTATCGGTGGGCTCGATTATCGAAATGAAAATAATTGGTTTCGGCTCGACAGTGAAGTTCCTAGCAGTGAGGAAATTGTTCGTGATAATCATGCAGCTGCCACTTACAATACCACCCTCCAAGCCGTGACTAATGAGACGGACCTTCAACTCTGGAATACTATGGAGGAATCCACTTTTGAAATGCTTGAAAATGCTTTTGCAATGGGAGAAGATTATCCTGACGACCCATGTCAGTTGGAGTTCTGGCATGACCCCGAAGAAGGCTGGAAAAGGGATCGCCCTCCTCCAGACAAAATTCGTCGTAATCGTTTGGTTCACCCGGCATCGACTATGTGGATAGGTGAGTACGATGAATCAACGCCTGTTGATTTGGATTATCGATTCAGAGGTGTGGGAAATGTGTATCTCACCGGAGGTGCCCTTTGGCCAGTTGCCGGTTCGTTGAACCCAACCTGCATAATGGCTGCCTTAGCCATGAATCTAGCTGACAAACTCCTTAATTAACATTGACCGCACGCAGAACAGAGCAAAGTTATAAAGTGTTTTCTGATCGTACGCAATTATTTTATTCATTTTTTACGTTTAACTTTAGCGGGCGAAATAGGGACAAAAGCAAAACGATTAAAGTTAAATTAGCATGTTTTAAGTTTTTAACCGCCTGCACTTAGTATATTACTGAACGAATTTTAAGCAATTTTCACAACACGAGCTGCAGTATTGTATTGAATATACAGAGTGTCCTAAAAAAATTTCTCCTCTATTGAAATCAGGCCTTTGTTCAGTAGAATCTGACTGCCTTAATATTATCATAAACCCAATTGAAAGCAAGACGCTTTATTTGAATGCTTTAACCTAATAACTATGCTATTTAGACACTACTGAGTTGATCATGCATTCAAATTCCAACAAAAGCTTCATTTCAGTAGGCGGGACTTTTTTGGAGGGACACCCTGTACAATACCCTAAATTTTTGAAATGAATTTGTAATAAATAAGATTTTAATAAATATGCAATTCAGTTACACTTCCTCATTAAACTTCCTTACCTGCCCAAATATTGACAAACGTTATGTGAACACATTTCGAGCATGGTCCCAAGTTCGACCGCGGTCCAGTGTGAACGCGGGCTTCCGACACTAGGAAGTTTACGATTCACGACGCGGCCAGCTGGACGACGCGTTTGGAAAACCAAGAAACTCCACACGCGAGACAATATAGCTATACATCAGTAAATTGTGGTCCAATGACAGCGTTCTCATTCTTATGGGCTGTTTACATGAGCCCGGTTACCCGAGATTCAACGAAGCGTGAGAGGACTTTGAGGTATTGAAATAAGTCTTTATGACACCAAACAAGCACATGCTATTGTTATGGTGATTATACGACTGCCAGGATCAAGTTATCTGCTCATTTCAATACCTCAAAATCATCTCACGCTTCGTAAAAATCTCGGGTAACCGGGCTCATGTAAACTGTCCCTTAAGCCGGTTTTCAACTAGGCGGAATTTCTCGACCGAACGAAATTTTTCGTCTGGTATTCTTTTCAATGGCGCGAGTTCAACCGTCGCGGATTCCCTTCGCCGGTCACAATAGATTTCGTAGGTGCACGCAGAACAATAGCTTGGAAACGAGGCCCGAGAACAAATTCGGGAAGTGTTTATTGAAAAGAAAATCGAACGAAAAATTTCGTGCGGTCGAAAAATTCCGCCTAGTGGAAAACCGGCTTTACGACGCCTTCAATTGAGGCATTGTCACTGCCTCTCGATGACATGAAAGCAGATAGCTTATATGAAACTGCAATATCTGCTAGACAAAAGAGGTTCTTTGCAGAATTGAAACGTTTATATGATTATTTTAGAGTACTGGCAGCATAATTAACTTCTCGTAGCTTATTTCTAGCGAAATAATTGACTAGCGACGTCGAACTAGCCGCGTCGTACATCGTAATAAACTTCCTAATTGAGAGTTACTGAAGGGCAATACTTCAGTCCCCACGTGTGATTGCAAAGAAAGCAAATTCTTGCAGTATAAAAGCCAATATACGTATGCAAATTTGCTCTCTGCTCGCACGGATACGTGGGCGGGGGGGGGAAACTATGCATTTGTACACCAGGGGGCGGGTTGTATCAAGCCCGTTTAGCTTAAAGGCCCTGTTACACGATGCAATTTTTCTTGCAACTTGCAATGCAATTCTGCTTGTAAGAGATGTAAATTAGCGAATAGTCTTGCAGAAGAAAAAAGCATGAAGTGTAATAAACACAAAATTTTCGTTTTTTCCAAATATACATATCTCAAAAGTAGAATTGCATTGCAAGTTGCAAGAAAAATTGCACCGTGTAACAGGGCCTTAAACGGTGGATAAGTCAAAATTAAATAACACTCTTACATCTCTCTTGAATGAGTCAACTTGAATTCTATATGCACTGAATATGTAGTTGTATACAGTATCTTTGTATTAAAGTCAAAAGCATTTAGTTCGCTTGTTAAATAAAACGATAAACTTGCTTTCTATTTTAAACTTAATAACTACCGTTTAAGCTAAACGGGCTTGATACGCAAACGGGCTTCCTATGCAAATTTCCAAGTCATTCTCATTATTCATTTCTTTAAAAATTTGGGTTTTTTATATAATCAATGTGTGCGAAAAATATTAGCATAGCAGGTCATTGTCAGAGTAGCTACAGCACTGGGCACGTGTCTATTCTTGGACCAGGAACTGGTCCCTAACCGCATCGATTGACGGAGTTCGAATTTTTACTTTTGACCTTTGAAGCAAGTTTCAAGCAATTCTTGACTATATTTGCAGCAAATAATATATATACAGGGTGTATCAAAAAAAAGGTAATCCAACTTCAACACGCTATTGTACGTGAACTACTCAGTCTATGAACGAATTTTTTTCACTTTCGGAAAGATCAGGATTTTAACTATCGGATGACATGTTTTTAATACGAAATGGTGAAAAAGTGAGCACATACGAGGCTGATAAAAAATGTTAGTCGCAATCGCATATTTTCACCTTTGAGCCTAATTAAAGCAGTGCATAACAAAAGAAAAGAGCAATTAATCACGAACATGTCACAGCTTACACTGGTTTTATCACTTTTATGCCGCATTGCTTGGAATGTTCTCCTGATGTGATTTATTCATACTTAATATGCATATGCGGTTAGTTTATTCAAAAGCAAAATTCTTCAATTAATCCCAAAGAGAGTTAATTTTCAATGGTTTTAGTCCCAACTCTCAGAGGTGAAAATATGCGATTTTGACTAACACTTTTTATCGGCCTCCTATTTGCTCATTTTTTCACCATTTGGTATCAAAAACATGTTATTCGATAGTTAAAAGCCTAAACTTTCGGAATGTGAAAAAAATTCGTTAATAGAATGAGTAGTTCACGTACAATAGCGCACCAAAGTTGGATTACCTTTTTTTTGATACACCCTGTATATACATATCATTAATATTCAGCCTATATATAAGTAAAGGCTAACGATTAGAAATACATTGTCCTCTGTATTGTTGTAAGTACAATCACAGTTAATCCCGGTAAAGCTGCTCACGAATGTGGACGACTAATTATGATTATAATTAAAATTATAAGCTTTATTGCGGTGCCCGCGCCAAGTTTGGCACCGCATTATATTCTGCCTGTGAGTTTGTTTGTTCGCATCAATACGTTTCCTTAATCGCCTAGTAAAAATTCCTTGCACATGCTTGGAATGCTTGGAATTTTTTCCTAATTATTACTATTAATCTTGTTGTACGTTTGCCAAATTCCTTTTTTAAAGGAACGTTCTTTTTTCAATTTCAATCTCAAACTCTGATAATTGCGTGTATCTCTGCTTTTATGCACCCAAGAAGGACAAAAATACCACCATTCGATTCAGCGTAAGAAATTATACTTACAGGTCTTAAATATATTACTAATCAAGAGTATTCGCAGCGATTTATGACGTTTGAAAGACAAACGAAATTGAATTGTTGACAAATCGCTCAAAATTACTATGCTATACTTTTATAGTAATAGTAAGTTTGGTCTTTGATATCTTTCATATCGTTGGTTTTCTCTTTTAATTTTCGTCCTTAAATAAGTGGATCGGTCTTAGTATCGTTGCTCTTCTAGTTTCCGGCTCTACACCAGTTTATTCGTCTCACGTTTCTCTTCATTTTGATAGTATTTTTAGATAGTATTTTTAGCCTCAATATTTTATTTCTGAAGATTTTAAAACGGCGCAATTTTGACCTTAATGTACCAACCAACCAGGCTGCGGCCGACAAGAGAATGTAAGTTGGTGATAGTAGTATACAGAATAGGGGTTCTGGAGCGGGTGGTGCGGGTGGTGCACTTAGCACCACACATGACGTCATCGATTCCTAAATGTTTTAATTTATTCCGGCATTTTAATATATTCGAGCTTTACCGTTTATTGCTATAGCAATTTTTCAGGGTATTTTACTACCATTTCTTTATTTACATGACTACATCGTTTAGTAATGTCTGGTTACTTAGTTATATTAAACGGTAGGCGATTTCCCGCCGTATGTTGTTCTTATCGTCGTTCGTATGCCTGTAGTGATTTAGCGGTCGTTTGATTACATACGGCCGCGTTTTATTTCTAATTCTAATTTTATTTCTAAAGCAATCGATGTTTTATAGATTTATATTTGTTTATGTTCTGTTTAGAGATCTTTAGAGGCTTTAGAGATCTCATGCAGTTACATAATTAATCATAATTTAACGCTCTGCCTGTTTTTACACAATGATTGTGCAATAATTTATTATTCATATATAAGTACGCGAGGAATGGGGTAAACAAAGAAGCGTAAATACGCACAATAGCGTAAATACGCAGGATATGTTTGTTTGACAGCAATTTACTTAAATTACACAAATGCCGGTTTACTTCACACAGTAAGAATTTGCGAAGAGTATATTTTATTTTACTAGGATTACTCATTTGTATGTCAATATTTAGTACCATTAGACTAATGTTCATTTTAAAAGATTCGTTTTCTATGTATGCTTTGTGATACAGTTCAGCTCATACGTTAACCCTGATTTAATTGTCCTCATATATCATAATGTCAATATGCCGTTGACATACGAATCATTTCCATACATCAATTTTCGTGTTATCGAGTTACTCAAAGTTTACTTGCATGGAATATGAGGTGGAATATCGGTTACAAATTTTGTGCGATGAGCAGATGAGTACCTACCTGCTCGTAACTGCTCGTCTGCTCAATGAGATATTTCATACCCACTTGAGATTTTTGTTGATAAAAATGAGAATGTACATATGAACTAGCGGCTGGAAAGAAAATTTCAGACATGGATTAAATTTAAAGTCTAATTATCATCATAGTCATAATCTTCACTGTCTTTATTTTCCTCGTCATCTTCCGTGAATCTCGTGGTCGCTTAAAAGCCTTTTAATAAGAAACTTTCTCTTATCAACTGCAGCTTGTATTGCTTCTTCTGGGTCAAAATCATCATTTTGAATAAACGATTCTTTTGTGTGCATTATTTTCCTATGTACTGAATCTTTCTTTAGTTGTCTTATCCACAAAAAGCGCTCTAAATAGATATTTTCTAATTCTTTCTGGAGTCTAGGCATAATATTCAAGTAAGCTTTCTCTTTAGCAGATTGCTCGTCGAAACCTCTGTCGTTTATGAGGCGTTCTTTCATTTCCTCGAAAGCTGTGTTACTTCTTTGTTTTGCTTCTTCTATTAGTGGTATCCCGTATCCAGGGATTCATTTCTTCTCCAGATTCTGAGTCAGTCGTCGTCGAACTTCCTGACTGCTGAGTAGAAGTTGTTGAGACATCGTCACGGAAATCTCTTTCTTGACTGTCCGAGTCTGTGGCAACAGTGTCTTGTTTCATCAAAAACCAAAAAACCTGATTGTTGGGCTACCTATGCAAGAATAGACAAAAGAGTGAACACGTTTAATGAGTATCTGTCTCAAAGGATAGTGCGCATGCGTATTACGTGTTTTTCTATGTCCCACAATCAAACGGTAAAAGTTTTGTATTTATATTTCGTGGTTCGTGCAGAAACTGATCAACTGATAACTTAAAGTTTTCATCCGCTGCGAAACGAAATCGGCTGTGTCATATCAGTAAATTCAGTTTTGTAAGGAATTGGTATATTATCGACGGTTAACTGAAGAGGCTTAGGTAAGACGTCAATTAAATTTATTACTTCCAAATTCCAAGTAGTTGCTGTGCCCTTGTTGGCTGCACCAATGAAGAAAGAATCTGAGGTGCCCCTTGGGAAATGTCTAGCAACGAACGGGTTCAATTGTTAATTTATGTGCGAAGACTTCTTAGTAGTTGCTGTGCCCTTGTTGGCTGCACCGATGAAGAAAGAATCTGAGGTGCCCCCTGGGAAATGTCTAGCAACGAAAGGTTCATTTTAGTTGTGAAGTTTATTTAAGGCTGTTTGGTCAGAAAAACTAACAGACTTATCTGTTTTAGAATGGATAACACTTGCAGGACTTGTTTAAAACAGTTCACAGAGCTGCGAAGTTTGCGTCGTCATGAACGGTCTATTCATGGTGAAAGAAGGTTTTGTTGTGATCATTGTGGCGAGTCTTTCAGACGAAAAGATGCTTTGAGGCGGCATCAAAAGCGTCATCAAAAAATGATTACACACACGTGCAACAACTGCATGAAAGATTTCCACCGTCGAGATAAATTAGTAGAACATCAAGTTCATTGTCAAAGGAATCCACTGAAGAGAAAGCGATGAAGGCGATAATAGTCCGGCTCCAAAGAAAATGCGAGTTCAAATTGGAGAAGGTGAACCCGATAATCAAGTCGAAGAAGATAACCCTTGCAGTTCTACTTCGGCGTTTGAAGATTCTTTGAAGAAGATTGAGTTCAAACCGCGGAAAGATCAGAAACAGGACGTGTCCCACTTCTTACGCGGCAAGACAAAATCCATTTTGAGTCACCTTTCCAACGAATTAGCAGAGAAAAGAGGCATCAAATGGTTCATCAGTGTTAAAGTACGATTCGTCAAACCTAAACCCAATGGCGAGAGTCTGACTACCGAATCCCACTTCCGCAGTCTCTGCATGAAAACAGTAGACCAGCACGAACTGCATAATCAACTAGAGGAGGCCAAGCAGAAAATTACCCAGTCACTAGTTTTATTTCAAAAAGAAGGAAGTGGTTGGGTATTAGACGAAATCCTTCATCTTGACCTGAGTATAGCTCAGTATACTCCAGTAAAAGGATCCAGCTACGTCCCTCTCCCAGCAAGATAAACGCCAAGAAAGCAGTAATCAACATCAAGAATTCTGATAACAAATGCTTCATGTGGTCTGTCCTCGCCGCTCTTCATCCAGTGAAACAGAGTGCAGAGAGATTGCATCATTATCAACAGTTTCAAGATGAACTAGATTTTGCTGGCATCGAGTTTCCTGTTACTGTTGACAAGATTGGAAAATTTGAGCGTCAGAACAATATTTCCATTAACGTGTTTGGCTTCGAAGACGTGCTTTTCCCCTTGTATATCACAAAAGAACACTTTAATACCCATGTGAATCTGTTGCTATACTCCCAGGGAGAACTAGCATTACTGTCTTATAAAAGATCTGAATAAATTCCTTTACAGTCAAAACCGTACAAAGGTCGTATGTATTACTGTCGGTACTGTCTACATGGATTTATCCGAGAAGACCTACTTCAAGACCACGACCCACTGCTCACAACACGGTCCTCAGCGCATTGAACTCCGAGTGAAGATAACGCCAACTGGTCTTTAAAGAATACCACAAGCATTGAAAGTGCCCTTTGTGATCTATGCTGATTTCGAAAGTCTTACAGCAAAGATTGACTCAACCCCACCAAATCCTGAAAAATCCTCCACTGAAAAATACCAACACCACCAACCATGTGGATTTTCCTACATTGTTATCCGACCATGCGAAGTACTCCAAACCGCCTGTTGTGTATCGTGGAGAAGCGCGTCGATAAATTCCTAGAGTGTCTAGAAGAAGAACAAAAATATATTCAAGAGAAACTGATTGGGTCGAACCCATGCGCATTGAGAGAGAAGAAGAGCAGGCATTCCAAGATTCAGTCAATTGTCATATCTGTGGGTTTGAGTTGGGTGCTGATCGTGTTCGTGACCATTGTCATCTCACCGGAAAGTACCGCGGAGCTGCACACAACGATTGCAACTTAAACTATAGTTTTACTGGTCGAGTACCCGTTATTCTTCACAATCTACGCGGTTACGACTCTCATCTCATCATGCAAGGACTTGGTAAACTAAAGACAAGAAGATCAACTGCATTCCAAACAACACCGAAAAGTACATCTCCTTCTCCATCAATAATCTGGATTTTATCGACTCTCTGCAATTATGAATGCATCGCTGGAGAAGTTAGTATCCAATCTAGCAAAGGATGGTGTTGACAAGTTCCCCACTCTAAAGAAATACATCGACAGCGATAAAACACCCTTTTGCTGAGAAAAGGTGTCTACCCCTACGACTACATGGATTGTACAGAAAGATTTGAAGAACCAACTTTACCACGAAGGATCTTTACAACGTGTTGAATGATGAACACATTTCAGACGAAGATTACCCACGCGAGAATGTATTTAATAATTTTCCTGTCGGAACATGGGTGATTACCATGATTTGTACTTGATGTCAGATGTTCTTTCTCGCAGACGTGTTTGAAAATTTCGAAGTGTGTGTCTCAAAGCTACAACTTGGATCCTGTCACTTCTACACAAGTCCTGGACTAGCCTGGCAGCTTGTTTGAAAATGACCGAGTGAACTCGAGCTTCTAACTGATCCAGACATGTACTTATTCATCGAAGAAGGTCTTCGCGGGGAATTTCAATGATTAGCAACCGCTATGGTAAAGCCAACAATCCATACGTTCCCGATTATGACCCAGAACAAGAGACCTCCTACGTATGTATCTTGATGCTAACAACCTCTATGGCTGGGCTATGTCACAACCTCTACCCACAGGTGAATTTGACTGGCTAACCGACCAAGAGATTGCAGAACTTGACATCACGGACGTTGCGGACGATGACGATGAAGGCTACATATTGGAAGTAGACCTACACTATCCGTCCGAATTACACGATCTTCACAACGATTATCCTCTAGCACCTGAGAAAATGAAGATTTCTTCAGAATGTTGTCACCATACTGCCAGACCTGTCGGAAGTTTGCAACTTCGTGGTGGGGCTGTATCTAAATTGGTGCCGAATCTCCGGAACAAGACCAATTATGTAGTCCATTACCGCAATTTAAAGCAATACCTGGCACTTGGCATGAAGTTGACAAAGATCCACCGCGTTTTGGTATTCCAACAAAGCCCATGGTTAAAGACCTACATCGATTTCAACACCGAGAAACGAAAACATGCAGCAAACGACTTCGAGAAAGATTTCTACAAGTTGATGAATAACTCGGTGTTCGGAAAAACCATGGAAAATTTGAGAAAGCGCGTCAACGTCAAGCTCGTCAACGATAAGACGAAACTATCGAAACTAACAGCATCTCCATCCTTTGACTACTTCCGCATATTCTCTGAAGATTTAGCAGCTGTCAACATGAAGAAGACGAAGCTTTACCTAAACCGTCCAATCTACGTCGGATTCACCATCCTGGATCTCTCCAAAGTACTCATGTATCAGTTTCATTACGAGTACATGAAACCCAAGTATGAGCAACGCAAAGTTGTTGTTCACAGACACGGATAGCCTTTGTTACGAGATAAAGACCGACGACGTTTATCAAGACATGTTGCAAGACATCGATCTCTTTGACACATCCGAATACGCACGAGACCATCCACTGCACAGCCTGACGAACAAGAAAGTCCTTGGCAAAATGAAAGATGAAACGCATGGCATACCCATCCAAGAGTTTGTGGGTTGCGACCGAAGATGTACTCCATTCTCTATACCGAAAACGACAAGCAAGTGGAGAAGAAAACGGCTAAAGGAATAAAGAAGTCCGTCACAAACGAAAGCTTCGGCACATCAACTACAAGGAATGTTTGTTTGATAAGAAACGGACAATGGCCAGCATGAATCAGATTCGAAGTGAACGCCATGAAATCTACTCCATTAAATTAAACAAGATTGGTCTTAGCCCTTATGACGACAAACGCTATATTTTAAAGGATGGAGTGAACACTCTTGCTTATGGACATTACCAAATCATAAGCACAGACGAGTGAAATATCAAGTTTTATTGTTGTTGAACAATACATAAGTTACGTTTTAAAGTTATAAATTATTGCAATTGCATGAAATACAAAGTTATGTTACAATGTTACGTGTTTATAAAGTTGAAGTTACATGTTTATTTATATAAGAGGAGGTTTTTTTCATGCTTGGAAAATGCTCAAACCTTATAAAATCATAATACTGTACGCATGCGTGAATGCATTAAGGTGTGTTTTGAAGTTCGGTGTTGAGTTGGGTTTACATAGAAACAAACTCTCCTCTTAAGTTACGTTTTAAAGTTATAAATTGTTCTGAAAGTTAATAAATTGTTCTCAAAGTTAATAAATATTTGAAAGGAATCCTTTGATTATTCTCAGTCTTCAGTTTGTGGTATATTGATCCAGATTCTACCACATCTATTTAGTCTAAAAATGCAGCCATTTTGCTGGGATATTGTTTGGATTGTCTTTTGTATGTTCAACACTGTCGTTTTTCCTCTTTAGAACTCTGGGCTTGCTGTTTTCCTTGCTTATCTTTCTGGTGCTTAATAATTCATTCACCCGTCTTGCTGTTGTTTGTTCTCATGTCTGTTCTCATCATCAAGAGTGTTCTCATTTGCTCTGTTGTATACCACACATTTCCCTTTCGGCTTTAGTTTGGCTTCTTGTAGGTACTTCCTTCTTTGGTCAATATCGAGCAGATGCACATCCGCAAGATGATTTGCCAATCTTACAAGGTATTTTGCACCGCAATTGGGAACGGTACAATCACGACAAACGCGCTTTGCCATGTCTGCGGTTTGAAGAACAGGGTGCAAATGAGCTGTTTCCTCTGATTACTGACTTTTATTAGGGCCAATCGGGCCAAAGTACAGGCCAATCGGGCCAAAGTCAGGCCAAAAAGGCCAAAAAGGCCAAAATAGGAGATACAGCTCCTCCCAATCCCATAACCTAGTATGAACAGTTCTTTCTCGATTCTTTTACATACCTTTCCCACTGTCTTCATCACAGTTTTGGATCGTTTGATTGTCATGAAGGCTTGGCTGTTTGCTTGATTCCCAATATCTTGTTCAGTAAGTTGGTTTTATTCGGCGTTTAAATTTATGCTGAGGCATAAAGGCTTGTCTGGCAGATTTACTATCTTGTTATGAGAATGTTTTTTTTTTCTCGATTCTTTTACACTTAAACGTTACCCCTGCTTTTCGGATCATCACCAATTCAGTTCGTTTGTGTATCGTAGTGCAGTTAGTCTTCGCTTGAGCTTGAGTTTCTTTAACATTTTTCTTCTTTTTAATAGTCCTTTTACGTAGATCATTTACCATAGTTGATTTTGAACGTAAAACCTCTTTCTTTGAAGATGCTTAGGAGATATCGTTTTCTGTGCACACTTGGCTGGCATATTGCAAAGTAAGGATACAGTTTAAAATCATGTTATTTATACATATGATTTTCGCGATCACAGCACTTCTTACAAAAACCTAAAAGTTTCTTCTTTTAGCATCCGTCTTCGATCTGTACAAAAATTACATCTCCATTCAGCACGTGTATATTTGAGCAGCTCCGGACTGTCTACACATGCAGGGGTTAATTTCCGTTAGGGTTTCGATAAAAACCTCCGTGACCTTTGTCTCTGAGATTTTTGACAACGCCTCATCGAAATACATGCATAAGTGTTCGACTTTTTCCATAGCGAGACATTGATGGTTTGGCTGAGATAAATTTTCCATTATGATGCAATGATGATATCTCAACTTGTGGTTGAAAATTGTGATGCATCACAATTTTCAACCACAAGTTGAGATATCATCATTGCATCATAATGGAAAATTTATCTCAGCCAAACCATCAATGTCTCGCTATGGAAAAAGTCGAACACTTATGCATGTATTTCGATGAGGCGTTGTCAAAAATCTCAGAGACAAAGGTCACGGAGGTTTTTATCGAAACCCTAACGGACATTAACCCCTGCATGTGTAGACAGTCCGGAGCTGCTCAAATATACACGTGCTGAAGGGAGATGTAATTTTTGTACAGATCGAAGACGGATGCTAAAAGAAGAAACTTTTAGGTTTTTGTAAGAAGCGCTGTGATCGCGAAAATCATATGTATACAATAACATGATTTTAAACTGTATCCTTAGTTTGCAATATGCCAGCCAAGTGTGCACACAAAACGATATCTCCTAGAGCATCTTCAAAGAAAGAGGTTTTACGTTCAAAATCAACCATGGTAAATGATCTACGTAAAAGGACCATTAAAAAGAAGAAAAATGTTAAAGAAACTCAAGCTCAAGCGAATGACTAACTGTACTACGATACACAAACGAACTGAATTGGTGATGATCCGAAAAGCAGGGGTAACGTTTAAGTGTAAAAGAATCGAGAAAAAAAAAACATTCTCATAACAAGATAGTAAATCTGCCAGACAAGCCTTTATGCCTCAGCATAAATTTAAACGCCGAAATAAAACCAACTTACTGAACAAGATATTGGGAAGCAAGCAAACAGCCAAGCCTTCTATGACAATCAAACGATCCAAAACTGTGATGAAGACAGTGGGAAAGATATGTAAAAGAATCGAGAAAGAACTGTTCATACTAGGTTATGGGATTGGGAGGAGCTGTATCTCCTATTTTGGCCTTTTTGGCCTTTTTGGCCTGACTTTGGCCCGATTGGCCTGTACTATGGCCCGATTGGCCCTAATAAAAGTCAGTAATCAGAGGAAACAGCTCATTTGCACCCTGTTCTTCAAACCGAGACATGGCAAAGCGCGTTTGTCGT